CCCCCCCCCCCAAGCACCAAGAAGACAGAGCATCCCTTGCCACAGAGTTCCTCTCTATGCCTTGTGGCTAAGAGCCACTGATGGACCTCTGCTCCATATGTTTATCCAGTTCCCTCTTATAAGAACATAAGAGAAGCCAATGTTGGATCAGGCCAATGGCCCATCCAGTCCAACACTCTGTATCACACAGTGGCCAAAAGTACCAGGTGCCCTCAGGAGGTCCAGCAGTGGGGCCAGGACACTAGGAGCCTTCCCACTGTTTCCCCCCCAAGCACCAAGAAGAAAGAGCATCACTTGCCCCAGAGTTCCTCGCTATACCTTGTGGCTAAGAGCCATGGATGGACCTCTGCTCCATATGTTTATCCAGTTCCCTCTTATAAGAACATAAGAGAAGCCAATGTTGGATCAGGCCAATGACCCATCCAGTCCAACACTCTGTGTCACACAGTGGCCAAAAATACCAGGTGCCCTCAGGATGGACCTCTGCTCCATATGTTTATCCAGTTCCCTCTTATAAGAACACAAGAGAAGCCAATGTTGGATCAGGCCAATGGCCCATCCAGTCCAACACTCTGTGTCACACAGTGGCCAAAGGTACCAGGTGGCCTCAAGAGGTCCAGCAGTAGGGCCAGGACACTAGAACCCCTCCCACTGTGCCCCCCCAAGCACCAAGAAGACAGAGCATCACTTGCCCCAGAGTTCCTCGCTATACCTTGTGGCTAAGAGCCACGGAGGGACCTCTGCTCCATATGTTTATCCAGTTCCCTCTTATAAGAACACAAGAGAAGCCAATGCTGGATCAGGCCAAAGGTCCCTCCAGTCCAACACTCTTCTGTGTCACACAGAGGCCAAAAGTACCAGGTTCCATCAGGAGGTCCAGCAGTGGGGCCAGGACACTAGGAGCCCTCCCACTGTTGCCCCCCACCCCCCCAAGCAGCTGTCAGCTATGCTGCCATGGGGATGGGGAGGTTCGTTCTCTTCTAATTGCCTTTGTATTCCTTATGTGCCTCTTTACAGCTACTACGCTTATCTCTAAGTATTGCAGGTGGTGATGTTGATGTCTGGTTTTCTTGGGAACCGTTTCGTTCCCAGCTTCAGCGCTAAACGGCTGAAGCTCTATCTCCTGTGCGCGGGAGGATGGCTAATTGGCCAGGGCAGTGGGGGGGTGCATACGAATTCCCTTTATCCTATTGTGCCCCATGGGCAGCCGTCATTCTTAACAGTGCCTATGTTAATGCATCTATAGCTCTACAATAAAGTATTACCTTTCATGAAAGCGTGTACTACGTTGTTGGCAGCGGGTTCTGACAGCACCAAGAATATGGTGTCAGCTCCACGCAGCGCTGTCGTTCACTCCTCACAGAGCCAGTTGGTAATGGTGGTAAAAGTAGTGGTGGCTCCTACTCAAAAGCCTGGTGGAAGAGCTCCGTCTTGCAGACACATGGAATTCACTGCCATAGGAGGTGGTGGCGGCTACAAGCATGGATGGCACCACTGAACTGGGAGTACCATCTTCAAGATGCCATCTTTTTATTGAAGACTGATTTGAAACATCTAGAGCACTGTGTAATATTGCAAATGTTTTATGTTGTTTTTAACCTGTTCTATGTATTGGCATGTGCCCTATTTGTAAGCCTCCCTGAGCCCGCTTGTGGGGAGGGTGGGCTATAAATCAAAATAATAAATAAATAAACAAACAAACAAAACTTAATCAATCTTTGGGTGAAGAAGGACTGCCTTTTATCTGTTCTAACCTGACTGCTCAGCAATTTCATGGAGTGCCCACGAGATCTTGCATTGTGAGAAAGGGAGAGAAGTACCTCTTTCTCTACCTGCTCTATCCCATGCATCATCTTGTAAACCTCGATCATCTCACCCCTCAGCCGTCGTTTCTCCAAGCTAAAGAGCCCTAAGCGCCTTAACCTTTCCTCATAGGGAAAGTGTTCCAACCCTTTTATCATTCTAGTTGCCCTTTTCTGCACTTTTTCCAAAGCTATAATATCCTTTTTAAGGTGTGGTGACCAGAACTGCACACAGTATTCCAAATGAGGTTGCACCATTGATTTATATAGGGGCATTATGATATTGGCTGATTTGTTTTCAGTACCCTTCCTAATAATCCCCAGCATAGCATTGGCCTTTTTTATTGCAGTCACACACTCTCTCCACATTTTCAGTGAGTTATCTACTATGACTCCAAGATCTCTCTCTTAGTCAGTCTCTGCCAGTTTGGACCCTATCAACCTGTATTTATATTTAGGATTTTTGGCTCCAATGTGCATCACCTTGCACTTGGCCACATTGAACCCCATTTGCCGTGTTGACGCCCACTTGCCCATCTTTGACAGATCCCTTTGGAGTGCCTCACAGTCCTCACTGGTTTTCACCACCCTGAACAACTTCGTATCATCCGCAAATTTAGCCACTTCACTGCTTACTCCCAACTCCAAATCATTGATGAACGTTAAAAAGCAGTGGACCAAGTACTGATCCCTGAGGTACCCCACTGCTTACCCCCCTCCACTGAGAGAACTGCCCATTTATACTCACTCTCTGTTTCCTTTTAATTAGCCAGTTTTTTATCCACGAAAGGACTTGTCCTCTTATCCTGTGATTTTTGAGCTTCTTTAGGAGCCTTTGATGAGAAACTTCATCAAAAGCTTTCTGGAAGCCAAGGTAAACAACATCTATCGGGTCCCCCTTGTCCACGTGTTTGTTCACCCCCTCAAAGAACACTAACAGAGCTGGAAACCTGGGGGCACCCCAACAAAGTGTGCGTCCCTGAAAAGGTTGCCAGCGTTTCAAATGCCCCTTGCGCCTGGGTGCTTGACAGCAGCAGACACGAGCAAGGAATAATGTGTGTCACCATGCCATCGGGTTGCCAACTCTGGTTTGGGAGATTTGGGGGACGGAGCCTTGGGACAGTGGAGATTGGGGGGGGGGAAACTCGGCTGGGGATAATGGCACGGAGTCCACCTCCGAAGCAGCCATTCTCTCCAGAGGAAACCGATCTCTGTCATCTGGACATCCGTTGTAATTCTAGGAGGTCTCCAGGCAATACCTGGAAGTTGGCAACACTACCATGATATAAGAAAACTCCATGAGCAGATCTTGACACTTCAGGCCTCAGCCAAAAGTCCAGGGAGAGAGCACCCCCCTCCCCCAGCCCTAGTGATTGGAAAGGAACAATGGGTCCTCTTTCTCCTAAGAACAAAGTCCATCTTAGCCTTGGACGCATGGCCATATTTTGCCCTGTTTGGGGTTAAATTTGTGGGAGCGGTTCTTTCGAAACCATTTCTCGGACAATTAAAAAAACAGACCTGTCAGCCCATTAAAGGCCCTTTAGTTAATTAGCTATCTTCTTTCAAATGATTAATCAATTAGCCAATTAAAATAAATACTACAGTAACTCAATGCAGGTGTTATCTTGAGAATATGCAATTAAGACGGCAATTGCTCTTGACTAAATAACACAGACAAGTCATTTATTGTTGGGAAAATCATCTTAAACGTGTTGCTGCAATTGAGAGATGAACGGAGATTGGGCGCGCAGCGGTTCTTCCAGCAGGCCGTGCTCTGTGCAGGGCGCGTTTATTTCCATCGGGTTGGAACAACACGTAAGCCTTTGCAGGGACGGGAAAGAGACAGTAGTGTCTGCCGGAAGGAGAGGGCGGTGGTGGTGGGGAACTGGCTCAGGTTGACAATTTCTGGGAAAAGATGTAGAGATTACGACAGAGAGCCAGGCTGCGGTCACACGGAGCATTAGCCACGCTACTGAGATGGATGATAGGTGGATTTTCCGGGCACGATCACACCGCAACATCTGGGAAGCGTAGAGCTCCCGTGGCTAACCCGAGGCTTCCCACTGAAGATGCGGCGTAAAAAACTAGTACCTCCGAGGTACTCGTTTCCGGAAACCGCGGGGCAAGGGCTGGCGTCTGATTGCGTTTCCGGTGGTAGTTCGTGGCATCCGGCGCCCGCCCATGTCCCGTCGCAAACAGGTTCCCCCCCAAGTCTCCACAGGATGCGCATAAGCACCCAACGGCGCATGTGCACGAAGAGGAAAGCGAAAGTCCCGTTGCTGCGCAGAATCGCGCATGCCATTGAACGCGAAACCAAAAGTTCCACTCCTCCGTCCTTCGGCTTAAAAGAAAATAAATGACCCCGTTTGCCACGGCAGCGGTGCCTAGCCATTGCTGGTGTGATCGCACCGCTTCTTTGCCGCGCTGCAGGATCATTGTGTGATCGCCACCCTCGTTTACCTGCCGGCGCCGAGGGAAAGACCCGTGGTGTGCCGCCGGCGCATCTGATTGCGTAATCGCAGATCAAACTGCGCCGGGGCAATTAGCCACACCTCTCCCCCGCAATATCCGGCCCGTGTGACCGGGGCCCCAGTTGGTCAACTGTGGCCCCGGTCACACGGGCCGGATATCGCGGGGGGGAGGTGTGGATGTTTGCCTCGCATTGAAATAACGTACGACTGCGCGATCAGGCGTCCCCTCGCGGTCCCTTCGAGGTCCTGTGGTTAGGGGGGAGGTGCTGATCACACGACACACCAAAGAAGTGGCTCGACATGACAAACGGGGTCGTGTGTGATTTTTTTAACCTGAAGTATGTGCATGTCCCGTTGGGTGCTTGTGCGCATCCCTGGAGACTTCGGGGAAAAAAAACCTTTTTGCAATGGGGCATGGGTGGGCGCCGGATGCCACCAGAAATGCGATCAGATGCCTGCCCTTGCTCCGCGGTTTCTGGAAACTAGTACCTTCGAGGTAC